AAGACCGAAGGCTTACTTTACCACGTTTACTTCACAACAGGATGTTTCGGCTGCAGACTCTGGAAGCACAAGTAATAGCACCTTTTCAACGAGAAACGCTGCACTTTGTGGTGCTACTCAAGCTCTGGAAGTGCTGATTCATAGAACTACTGAATATAGCGAGATTGCAGCTTGAGTGAACTACAGAAAGGTTTCTTCACCCCTGAAACGAAAAAACAAACGAACCCTACAAAGCGCTAATTCATCACAACTCTGATAACTTAAAGATGAAGTTGCTCCTTTGGGACCCAATGTTGAACGTCGTTGCGTCTTGGTAAATACATGCAAAAGTGAGTTTTGCACTCTGTCACACTGAAAAAGCTGGCTTCTTTATAAGATACCAAGTGCCAAAACCCTGACGCAGTCAAAGGACTTGGGCCCCGAACACCGCGGCAGCGGTTTTCACCGTGACCTGCTGTGGATGTGTAAGGTGGTTTGGATTTATGAATGCTGGAATTGGCACCGCGTTGCGAGCTTGAAAAACCGTTGGGCAGAAGGTAGTGGTCCAATGGGGGTCTACTGTGTGTAGGGCTCCGTATCACAAGTAGTTCTGTTTGAAGTTTTTCTCAGCAAGGTAAAAAGTTTTAAGAAGTTTCTGGAGTACTAAGCAGTTCGCACTCCAGCACTTCTTGCTAGTGATACGAAGGCAAGTTCACGAATTGTTCCCGTGCATCTGCATCCGCCATTTATGCCCTGTCACCGCAGCAACGTGTGCCTTCAAGCGCCGACCCTGCAGGATCCCTTCGCAACCAACGCAGCATTTATCCCTACCCTGAAGTACCTCAAGTAAATTTCCTTAACAAACTTTTGAGCATTCCTCCAGCTTCCATGCCACCAGGCCACCGGGAAGCTGGCTGTGGTCAGGTGATCAGTCTATGACCTACTGCGATTCGTGCATTTGCGGAAAGTTCGCAAGTGTGTTCAACCTTGTTAGGCGAAACAAGCTGTATGTTGTATATTATAATCTGAACCACACGCTTTGCAATCCAAGGCCCTTCACCCAGTACAACCAAACGGAACCCACCATTCATGCCCATTCAGATTGATACCACAAAGGTACTCCAACAAAGCACGCAGGCACTGAATGGTCTTCACGGCTGCAAAACAATGATGCAGAACAATATATTCACCGAATCCCACCACAACGAAGCCAAATGACCAATGGCTTTGCGGTTGCGCATGGCAACGTGCTTTCCGGGAAAGCCGCCTGGTCTCCAACATGGCGCCCACGTCACAGGATTTTACTGGGATGGACAAGCTTGTGACAGCTGTGGTATCTACAGATATGGGTCTGCGTGCGTCTGGACTGAACGTTGTGGTTCTTGCAGTGGTGGCCCCACTTCTTGGTGGTTATGGCCCCTGTGTGGCCCGCTTTGTGTGCTATTTACAGGAGTGGCCCGGCTCATCGAAGGCCGTGTTTTTGACAAAGTGCGGAGGCGTTGTTGACTCCGCCCTCGCACCTGTACCAAGTAAGTGATTCTGCGGCACCAAAAACAAGGCTGTAAAGCCTTGCGAAAAAGATGAAGAAAGGCTTCTGTGTGGAGGGCCCTCATAGTACGGCCCGGCCAGATTTGGGGACCATAAAGCTGCACAAGAACAAGTGCATCGCTACTAACAAGAAAATACTAGTAGCGATGCATTTGTTTGTGGACTGCGTCTGACACCGCAGCGGACCTCGCCTCTGGGGCGCCTTTGGCCGCCTCTGGGGCCTTTGGGCTGTGGGAAGCCTCAAGGCACGGCATCGAGAAGTAGCTCTACAATAAATTCCTCTTGCAAAGTCATTCACCTCTTTTAAAAAGAGGACCGGGGAAGCAGCCAAGAAGCATCTTTCTTGGCACACCAATTAGCACAGACAACTCTGGCCCCCTTGGCAATAGTTTGGTATCCTTTTGCAACGAATTCCATGGCCTTGCCTCGTCTCTCGGCTCGCCGGATGCCTCCTGTCGGTCAGAAACAAAGAGCGAAGGTCAAAACATATATAATATATATATATATACTTCAGATTTCAAGGGTAACCAAACGAAACGGTGAACCTGCTGAATGCACTATTTTAAGGCATTCTAAATGATCGACATTGAAATTGAAGTTTCTGTCCTTTAGTGTATAGCATGCCTTTAAAGGGTCAACAGGTTCGAAACTCAACACTATAGCCATTGACTTGGTGTAAAATTTTAGCGCACAATACAGTATGAAATTGATAGCCGTGGATTCCGCTGCTGATTGCTGATTTGCATGCTCATTTGACGAAACACTGCCTTGCCTGATCTTTAGGTTTTTCAGGTGCCTCCTGGTGGCAGGTAGAGTTAATGTCAAACTGCAGACATCTGCAAAAACAGTAAGGAAATGGTGAATTTGACTTCCGCATATCTTGAAGGTCTGCATGTGAAAAGCTAAACTTGACGACCTCAACCACCCCATCCATAATCATGTGGTCAATAGAGGAAACCGCACCAAGATTGCCATGCTTCCAGTCAGCAGCAATAGCACGGAGAGTGAAAGAGTTCCACGGCAATTTCGCGCCGCAATTTCGCTTGCTTTCAGTTTGCTCTTCTTTTGGCTGTGAACAACACCAACCGTCTTGCCTCATCGGGCTTTTCAGATGCTTCCTGGCACCGAAAAATCCATGTATTACGAAGCAAAAACAAAATGAAGTTCCAATCCTAAGCACAGGCACACTCTACACCAGGTCACCGTCATTAGCTTGGTACCCAAGTTGCCCTCGCCTCACCTATCAACCTGTTCGGGACATCAAGCAACTCTGTTGCCATTTGGGACTTCAACGGCAGTGGAGTTGGCCTTCCCTATCATCGACGCAAAGCACTGGCAGAAGGATGCAATCCCACAGGAACAACAACTCAAGACTAAGCCATTTCTCTATGTCAGAGAGGGGACTGCAAGGCCCATAGTGTCAGCATTGGTCCACCAGTTTGCTATGCAGAACATTTGTTCCTCACTGACTCAAGCACCTCTTCGGTTTGTTTGACAAAGATATTTCAGTCTGTCTTTGATGAGCATTTTCCAGGCAGAGGTTTGGGCTGCAGACTGCGGCAGCCATTAAACGCAATGCCTAAGGATATATATATATATAGCCCCTACCTCAGCTGGGCCTTTCCTGAGGGCCCTGCTCAATTACTTAATTTCAAAATAGGGGGGGGGCGATTAATTGACCCCTTGTAACGGGTGCAGATTTTGAAAAGAAAGTTGTATATAAGAAAAGTGGGTGTGCAAAATCAATCCTCACGAGGGGGTCGAACCGGATAATTAATTGGGGTACCTTAAATTATGTAATGATTGTTTCTTATTGATCCATGCTTGAAATGTGCAACACCAAAAGACAGCCACAAATCAAGGACACTTTGACAACTGACCCATCCCCCAAATATGAAAGTGCACGCACACAGTTTTATCTTTCTTCACGCCCTCGCCCCTTCAAGGACTGTATCCCATCCATTTATTCATTGCGCTCCTTTGAATTAGAACTCTGCAGCGCACTTGAATTAATTGCTAGGTGTGTCAGGTCTGGATGACTCTCTGTTTTGTTTAAATGTTGTTCAAGCACATCTCATCAAATCTCAACTTATCCGAATATCACAAAATTACAACTTCTCATGTCAATGAATTTTTGACCTTCTCAAATGCTCCCCCCAGCAGCAAATGTTAACTTTGGTGAAATTGATTCCAGAAATTTACTTCTGGACTCAGTAGGGGACCCTTGATTAATTGTCTAGCGCTGAGGCTATCTGAGGATGATACAACACCTTGTTAAGTTATATTATCTGAGCAAGGAAGAAACGAAAGCACTCGCTTTTGAGCGTGTATTGACATAACTCCAAGTCGCAGAGCTGCAGCCAGAGATGCACACATGACAGGGTGACGGACCAGGCAGAAGTGAATCAGAGGGCTGATGGCTGATGAGACGAGATCCCTGTAATCTAACCCTGATTCTCCCAGTCTAGGCACTTGAAGCAAGAACCGTTCAATTTTTGTTCAAAGTGTCCAAAGGCAGTCGTGTTGCAGCGCAAGAACTTAGTAAATCGTTTACGAGAGAAGGCCTTGCAAGTCTCTCTCCGCACAGGTACCTTGGGCTATATAATTTGATGCTGTGTTTCTTGGGCTTTTAACTTGCTCTTCTTTTGGTCATCTGCCTCGCCTCAGCCCCGTCTGCTCTGGGCTTTTCAGATGCCTCCTAGCAGTTAAGCATTCATCCACCTACAAGCTAGGTCAAGCTGTCCCTCTCCGCAACAAATCTGTGCTCGGAAATGCAAATTGTTCGATACCAGTGATCGAAGGCTTCTGACTTGAAGAGAGTACCCCTCCCAGCTGATGTCCGCATCATATGATGTCTAGTCAGGAGGCGCTGCGTGTGATCCTCTATCCGGAAGACAAAAAGAATCGTAACAACTGGGATATTCTTCCCGACTGGAGTGCTAAAACTTGTCAAGCTTAGCAGCCAAGAGAATGCTGCGGATCTTTGTCAATGTCAGTTGTATCTATTGCATGCTTGCAATCAACTCCCTTGCCTGGGCCTCAGCTTTGGGTTTTTCAGACACCTGGCTGGCCCAAACCCTTTACATACTTGTGAGATCCTGTGAGCAAGAGCTGCGACGTTTCAGAAGAAAATAATTGAAGTGTTCTTTGATTTCCAAAGATTCGACTGTCTCTCGCAAGGACTATCTGTGACTTCATAGATCAGCATTTTGCCCCCAGCATAAAACCAAGAAGGAAGTCCAAAGAAACCAATAAAATTTCGTTCCGTCAACCTGAGGATTTGAAAGGTGGTGCTTCGAACAAAGACCAGAAAAAACTCCGTGACAATACAGCCACCCACATGTAGGGACATGTGGGACCCTTTCAAAGGACTAGCTAGCAAGTCTAAAGAGCAACTGAACCAAAGAATTGAACTTGAAAATCAACGCAAAACATCTCTCCATATTCCTAGTTGTAGTATCATTTAGTTAGTATCATGCCATGAAGCGTACCTTGTCCGGTTCGTCAGCAGCTGGTTGCTCCTTTGGTGCTGTCTTCTTTGTGACATCAGTCTCTTTCGGCTTTGGCAGCTTTGGCGCGGCTTCTGGAGGTTTCTTATCTCTGTTTTTGGCCCGCTCCTCAGGGCGACTTACAGCAGACATGGTCCAAAAAAATGATGCGCAGTTTTGAATGTTGCCATCCCAACATTGAAAAAGCAGAGATGGAGAAAGGAGGAAGAGGGGAGGGAGAGAGAAGGAGAGAGAAGGAGAGAGAAGGAGAGAGAAGGAGAGAGGAGAGAGAAGGAGAGAGACAGAGCGAGAGCGAGAGCCAGGGCGAGAGCGAGAGCGAGAGCGAGGGCGAGAGCGAGAGCGAGAGCGAGAGCGAGAGCGAGAGGGAGAGGGTGTGTGAGAGACAGTGAGAGAGTGAGAGAGTGAGTGAGTGAGTGAGTGAGTGAGTGAGTCAGTGAGTCAGTGAGTCAGTGAGTCAGTGAGTGAGTGAGTCAGTGGGTCAGTGAGTCAGTGAGTGAGTGAGTGAGTGAGTGATTCAGTGAGTCAGTGAGTCAGTGAGTCAGTGAGTGAGTGAGTCAGTGAGTCAGTGAGTCAGTGAGTCAGTCAGTGAGTGAGTGAGTGGGTGAGTGAGTGAGTGAGTGAGTCAGTGAGTGAGTGAGTCAGTGAGTGAGTC